AAAGACACCTGCTTGATAGTGTTTATATTAGAGAAATAAATAGAAAATGTTTAGATGCAACAATCAATAAATTACTCAATAAATAAAACCAATCATTTGAAAGTTTATTATAAGTCACATGTAGGCCATTTTGTGTAAGTCTTCTGTCCTTAAGTGATTTGACAATTTCTCATTGGCTGACAGTAGTGACAATTTGCAGAGTCGTCCAGTATCTAACTACATCTGAGGATATCCTTCTGAATTACTCACTCTAGCTGTCTTTCTTATTCTTTTGACAGAGTTAAATTAGAAGAGAGTGGAGTTACTGAGAGTTCTGTAGTGGCCAGTAATGGTGACAATACTCACATATTACCTAGAAAAGCAAAGAAGCGGGCAGTAAAGTTGAAGGAGGATGAAGAAGATGAGCTAGGTTACAAATATTCAAGGAAGCATTGGAAGAAACAAGTGAACAGTAACGATAATGAGAAGGACCTGGACCTGGAACCAAAAGCTATTATAGATCAGAATGTGAGGAAAAAAAACAAGAGGAAAAACAAAGCCGCCTGTGGATCAGTGGGTGATGATGAAGAGGAGACCAGAAGAAAATCACCAAAGAAAAAGGAGAAAGGTGAATGTAAAAGACAGATAAAGAGTCCCAAGCCTCCGAAAGTACAGGCCATGAAACAGTGGACCGTCCAGAGCCGCAGTGCTCCGGAAGGTTTGCCTGTTAGAAACAGCCTTGTTAGAGCCAAGCAGAAAGCTGGGCTGGGCGTCTGTGCAAAAACTAGCCCCAGTTCCTCCTCAGAGTCTGACTCTTCTCACGAATCAACCAGCGATGGTGTCGACAATGGTGTTTTGGAGGTCAGAAAGTCCTCAGAGAAAATATCAACTGGCTTATCAAAGGAAGGACCCTCTGTGAAAAACACAACTACAAACAAACCAGTTACAAAAACTAACTTCAGCCTCACTCCTGGCAAGGGCAAGGGCAAGGCAACCCAAACATCATCTTCCAGCTCAGACTCCAGTTCGGAGTCAGATGACCAGAACACGAGGTCACAGAGACCCCAGGACTGTGCTGTAGGTTTCTTAAAGACAGTGGGCCTCTTAGCAGGAAGAGGTTGTCCAGGGCCAGTGTCAACGGCACAGACGCCAAGTGCTACTGGATGGAAGCATTCTGATTCAAATGGTGGCAGACAGGCCCCTGGCCCTCCTCCCAGCTTGTCTCTCCCCGCCAGTTTGGGAAGGGGATTGGGAAGAGGAGAGGATCTTCTTTCTTGGAAAGGAGCTAGGGGTCGGGGGATGCGAGGGAGAGGTCGGGGACGAGGGCAAACCATTCCCTGTATTTTAAATAGAAACAATGAATATCAGAAGCAGCAGCAATTAAATGAAATTATAACCAATTCATCTACTATTATCCAGGTAAGTACGGTTTAGCCTAAGTTTATCTCTGCATCTTTCTTTCCATCCCGTGTAACGGGTCTAGATTGATATCATGGGTTCGGGTTTTCTCACCAGTAACAAGGTCATATGACTAACACTGTTTTTTTCAGAATCCAGTAGAGATACTCAAGAAAGACTACAGTATGTTACCACTGTTAGCAGCTGCCCCTCAAGTTGGAGAAAAGATTGCATTTAAGGTATATATGAAAACAACTATGGCAAAGAATGTTAATTTCACCTCTAAAGAAACTTACTTAGCTGGT